CTTTAGAAGTAGTTGCATTAATTGGGAAAGTCATGATTTTTCCTTCATACTTAATGGTCATATGAGAAATCACAACTATACTTATTAAAGGAATACAAAACCAAACCAGCCCATTCCCAGAAACATACTGCGCTCTTCCAGAGGATGGACGCCTTGCACCATCCACCTCAGTAGGGCCTTGCCATTGCTTGAGTCAGGGGAGGGGCACAGCAATTGGCTAAGGTTATAGAAAAATATTTTGAACAATATACTCAATATCTTAGGTAATTGATGTATGTCAAAAAGATTGTAACTCTGAAAACTATGTAAATCAAAGAAGTTTTGGCTTTGAAGTTATCCATTAACTGTCTGAAAAAACACCTGTAAAAAAGGTATGAAGGGCTGGGATTGTAGCTCAGTGGTAGAGCGTCGCCTAGCTATGGGCAGGATCCGGATTCGATCCTCAGCACCACATAAAAATAAAGGCCATCTACCTAAAAAATAAATATTTAAAAAAAGGTATGAAAATAAAGGCCCCTCTAGGGGCAGCAGATTTCTTTTTTTTTTTTTTTTTTATTGGTCGTTCAAAACATTACATAGTTCTTAATACATCATATTACACGGTTTGATTCAAGCGGGTTATGAACTCCCACTTTTACCCCGTATACAGATTGTGGTGTCAGCGAAAGAAGAAGAGATGGGATAAGAGGTTGCAAGTTACGAGCAGTCTCCAGAAGAAATCTGCTGCCCCTAGAAAGGCAATATGTCAATCAAGGGGCAGATTTCTTCTGGAGACTGCTCGTAACTTGCAACCTCTTATCCCATCTCTTCTTCTTTCGCTGACACCACTCCTCCTTCAGGACCCTTGGACTCCCCCGCTGGGCTGGACCCCAGCAGTTTTTAATCCCTTGATGGCCACCTGCGGTGACTTGTATCTGTGCCTTTGCTCTTAGTGCAGCCCCTTGGCCATCTTAAACTTTCTTCACCTTTTTGTAACTCACACATATTATTATGTGAAGTGTGACATGGGACTTGAGTGTTATGGATATTAGTAATTAAGATCAGAATGGGATAAAAGAACTTGTGATTGCTTTGGTCATGATACCAAGTGAAACCACGTGTAACTGGTGAATTAAAGTCTCTGAAAATGATGTAGTTTATGAATTTATTCTTATTTATTAAGTTCAGACACATTGTAGAAAGATAAAAATGTGTCCAGTCTATATGGATGCCATGGCTCACTCCAACGCACCTTGAGAAATACCTCAAAGATGGGACGGGATGAAAACCCCAGCAAAGGTATACAGAGGAAGACAACAGAAAGAACTGCCCACTACCATCACATCCTCAGTGCCCAGTGCAGAGGCTGGTATGTGGGCTCTCAGGAAAGAGCCATATGTATGAATATGTAAGGGACATGCAGATGGCATGGGTCACTATTGTGAAGCCCAGTTGTACACTGGAAAATGTCCCAAAGTGAGGCAAATAAGAAGTCAGCCTGCAAACCGTGCAGACAGAAGCCAGGCTAGGCAGAGTGGAGCGCCTAGTGTCTCAAAACATGAACCTGCTTCCTCCCAAGCCAGGAGTCCTTGTTCCAAGTCCCAGTCCTGCCACTAACTTATGTTACAATTTTGGGGTCTCATATTCTGACCATGTGACTGGTGATTGGATTGTAAATACCTGTCCCTAGGAGTTTGACTAGACTTGAAAAGTAAACACCCCTGTGCCAGGCTTTCAAGGCCAGAGATTCAACTGCTGTGTGTGAACAGAATCTTCTCTTCTGTAACTTTCTAAACTCTAGGAATGTAAGGAATGTAGCTACATCATTTAATTGCTAGGTCAATTAATTGCTGTCTAAACTATAACCTCATAGGCTTAGTTCTTAGAAATATAGCTCTTAGGAAGGTAAACCCAAGTCATCTTGAGTTGCTGCTGACTGATAAAAACTACTTAAAGATAACACTGGCAAGTGTTTTACTGCCTTTGTTCTGCACATGTGAACTACTTATCGTAAATTCCCTGTGCATTGTCTTTGGTCACATAGGCCAAGAATTCAAACCCACCAATGTCATAATGGTTAAGAAATGATGTCAAATTTCCTATAAAAGCCCCATGTAACCTCAGCTCAGGGACCAGAACTTCAGAGCACTAGCTCATCTAAGTCCACCGAGTTCTCCAATCCTCCCAATGGCGCTTGGTCTCTTGCTGAGTGTGATTTCCAAAACATCCCCAGCTGCTGGGTTTAAGGCGGGCTATAAGGTGCTCTTCTGAAGAGAGTTCTTTTCACACAAACATTTTCTGGGAGGCACCTTTATCCTSTTTGCTACTATTTCATAAGGACACTGTCTTGATGCTTTTTTCAGTTTGGAATCTGCTTCTAGTTTCCTAACTAAACATTCTGTGTGGTCCTAAAATAGGGATTTAGTATAAAGAAAGAAAGAAACAGAGAGATAGATGGAGAGACAGAGAGAGGGGGGGGTTCAGAATCTTAAGGAAAACACTTTCAAGCTTGAAATGAAGAATCAAGCCACTGGGATGGCAGAAAACACAGTTGTAGACCTTGGCCCATACCCTTGTAAAATGAAGGCAATATGCAAGCACAGGAAAACTGGCTGCTCCAACCTAGATCCACCACTAGTCCAGCCCCTGATACTCCCATTCTGTAAACATTGGACACCCAGCCCAAGTCAGGACTTCTCACTCTGGAGACAGCCCATATTCCCCCTTAAATGGGTACCTACTTTCCTAAATAAATCTCTGTGTGCCTTTGTCTGGCTCATGCTGAAATTCTTTTCCCTCGGGTATGCCAAGAACCCCTTTGGTCCCGAGTTAAGTTCTCCTCCTCCTCTGGGAACTCCTAGGACCCTTCTCCAGAGACATCTCTTTATCCTAGACAGTCCCAGATTCCTCCATGTGATTCAGTGGTTCTGGGTTGCTCCTCACTCACTTGGCCCAGCTCATCTTGCATTCCTAGCCAATGTTCAGAGTTAAAGGGGACAGCTTGACATCAGGCAGTTCTTAATAGGCTTGTAGACCTTTAGGCCACAGCACATGGAAAGATTGCTGAAGGCCTCTGGGCTTTGATATTTAAGGGAGGCTTGGCAAATTCACTGAGCAGAATGAACTTCTGTCCTAAAGGGAAAACCAACAGCTGAAAGCATTTACAAATGCTATTGATGCCATTAAGTGGCCCTCTCAAAAAGCCAGAGAAACTGTGCTTGAGGCACTGTGTGTCTTCTCTGACCTTCTAGCCACAAAACACAGCATTAGATCCTTCAAACAAATGTGCTGGGGTGACCCTTTCCTTAAACATTTTGGGTTTTTCGAAGTGTTTTTCTTAGGATTTTGGATTTGAAACTAGCCATTAAAAACCTATTGATCTGGTGGGCAGGGTGGCACAGACCTGTAATCCCAGCGGCTCAGGAGGCTGAGGCAGGAGGATGGCAAGTTCAAAGCCAGCCTCAGCAAAAGCAAGGCGTTGCAACTCAGTGAGACCCTGTCTCCAAATAAAATACAAAATAGGGCTGGGAACGGGGCTCGGTGGTCACTGTCCCTGGGTTCAATCGCCAGTACCCCTCCCCCCCCAAAAAAAATAGCTTATTGATCTCAAGTCTAGCTTGAAGTCCAACAGTTTTGTCTTGAAAGACCTTACAATGATGCTAAATTTTTTCTAAACGCTGTCCTTGTCTTTGTAAGGTCCTTGCTTAGCATCTGGATGGCCGTTTTAAGTGACAGTCACCATTTTAAGAAAAATTTCGCTTTCCGGCCAAGAGGCTCTGAGAAAGGCTCACCAGTCCTCATACCAAGCCTACCCTTAAGGGCGCACTGGGACCGCGCTCCAAAGCCCGGCCTGCCCCCAACAGTCCCCACCGCGCCCTGTCGTCGGCTCTGGTCTCGCCCGTCTTTTCGCTCGCCCGGCTCCTTTCGGTCCGGTTTTCTCGGTCCTTCCGGGTCTAAGACATGCTTTCTGGCCGGGCGCAGTGGCACTAGCCAGCAAGCCCAGCCCTAGGGCGCCTGAGGCCGACGGCTCCCACGCTCAAGGCCAGCCTCCGCTCAGGCCCGGCCGCTTGGCCCGAGGCCCGGGTCGCCCGCTGACGGCGCCCCTCTCCCAGTCAGGTCAAGAGGCCGGGCCGCGGCTCAGCGGTGGGGCGCCGGCCTAGCCCGCGTGAGGCGCTGGGTTCCATCCTCAGCACCGGGCATAAACAAGGAAAATAAAGGTCCATTGACGACTAAAAACAAAGGACCCTTTCTTCCAGGTTAGCAAGCCGTCTGGTTTGTCCAGAACCTCCTTGGTTCAGCATTACAAGGCCTCCGAAGATCCGGACGTTTGGTCACGGGATAAGACCCGCGGACACAACCCGGGCGCCCTGCTTCCCGTGGGGCCGGGCCTTCGGTGCGGCGCCTGGCCTCCGTGCCCCTCCTCCTTGCCGGCAGGACCCGCGCGGCCGCCGGGGGCGCTGTGGGACACGGGAGCGATCGGACAGGCGCTCTGGCCTCGGGCGCCGCCGCTCCTTCCGCCTTCCCGGCGGGCCACGCGCGGCGCCTGCGCACTCGGTGACCTTTGCGGGTCGGCTTCGCGGTGTGGAGYGGCTTGAACTATTGGTTCTGGCGAGGTGAGAGCTGGTCCCCCCGGCCGCAGAGCTCGCAACGCGGGGAGTGGAGAGGCGGCGGGTCGGAGGTCCAGGGGTTAGGGGTGGGATCGGGGCGAGGGACAACACGGGCCCGCTGACCTTGGGTCAGCCCCTTCTGCTCGCCCGCTACTCTTCTCCGCTCCCGAGGCCTCGCGGCGACACGGGTGCCAAGGGTTGGCCTTCAGACTGCGAGGGGGGCTCCGAGGTCGGGCCCCAGACTTCGAACGACTGGGGTTGGCTTCCGGATTGTGAGAGGGCCAGCCTTCAGGAGCGCGCCTCTGCCGGAGTCGGTTTCCACAGCGGAGAGCAGGAAGCCGGGAGATTGAGGGGATCCGGCCTAACGTTCTGGCCCTGATTTGGCGTGAATCCAGGCCCGCTTACCTGCTGTGCAATCTTGGCCATCTGACAAGGACCTGCTTTGTAGGGGTGGGTTGTAGGTGCAGGAAGTAAGTCCCTCAAACACTGAGTAAATGCTGTTAAACTTAGGGAACAGCCTAGAGTAAAAACTAGGCTTTACTTTGGCCTCCAAGGTGCTAGAGACCAGGCCGTCTTTTATCCTGTAGCTCAGCCACAGCGTTTTAGAAAACAAGCACTTAGTATGCAGTACCAGACACTGTAAGCACTTGGCATGCAGTGACTCACTTCAGGGTCAAAACGGCCCCCCTTGAAGAGGTTACTGTTTATTCCTGTTGTACAGATGAGAAAACTGAGGCAGTATAAGTAACTATTAAGTGACAGCCAGGATCTGAATCTGGGCAGCCACTTGGCCTTCTTCCTTCCCACTCCTCCCAGCTATTCAAGTTTATTCTGACCTGGGGTGTCTTGGCACATCAGTGCCTCTGCTGAGAACACTTCTCCTTAGTATCCTGGCTCTTTTTTGTTTCTCAGCTCCCAAAACAGTGGCACCTAGCATGTGCTCAGTACATATTTGCTGAGTAGGTAATGGCTGTGCAATACAGGTTTCCATAATTTGAGGGCAGCCATTGACCTTTGAATAGGTTGGGCTTTTGGAGAATCTGATGTTACAAAACTGATGGGGAGCTGAGAAATATGGAAAACCACAGCACTGGAAGATGAGAATCCTGTACGTGACAGGTAGCAGTGCGGTATGAGAGGAGCAGGGGCAGGGCAAGACAAGATTTCAGCTGCCTCCAAGGGAGAGGTTCCAAGTGAGATGATAAGTGCTCAGATCTAGTCGTTCCTGACAACCACTGCAATGATCCTCCTTTAATAGGCCAGATGTTACAATGCCTCTTAAGATGAACACCAGGGCATCTAGTTTAGGGTCTGTGTAAATTGCAAAAGTAATCAAAAGTATTACTTAGATCTGCACAAAGCTAACTGTAGGTTCAGAATTTTATGGCTTTCCCAATCAAATTCAGTAATTAGTTAAATAAATAAGTTCTGTCATATTTGGACCTCTAGCTGGTCAAAGTATGTACAGGCCCAGGTGTTAGTTTCATAAGGAAGTCACCATACCCTGACCTGTTCTTTTCAGCTTTGAATGCCGGCCATTCTCAACATGATGATGAAGCCAGTCTTTCCAGAAGACTGGAGTGTGACTTTGAGCATAGCATTAATGGAAGATTGGCTTGGGTATGGGCAACATGGTGGCAGAGTGCTGGAATGGGGGGGAATGAGAGGTGACTGAGTGCCAAGTGACTTGCACTGTGGAGAGAAGGTGCTCACATGGGGGGACTAGACTAGGTCAAGAACAAGAGCAACTCCCTGTCAGGTGGTTGTGGGAGATGGAGTCAGACTTAATGAATAAATGAAGATTATCTTTTATGTGTTAGAGTTAGAGCAATAGTCACCTTAGTGTTTATCACTGTGTTCATTTTCAGATGCTTCAAACCATTATTAAAAACTACTGGGTCCCCTTGAAGCCCTACTATACCCAGGTTTACCAAGAGATTTGGGTAGGAATGGGGTTAATGAGCTTCATTGTTTATAAAATCAGGAGTGCTGGTAAGTTTACTTATGTTTGATTTATTTGAGGTCAGGAAGAAAAATGTTTTCGGAAAGAATCAATTCATTTATCAAGGAACTATGGCTGTTAACCATAGCATAAGAATGGCTCAAGCCACAGAACCACTATGGCAGTGTGAGTCAGCTATGAAGAGGTTGTGGGGACAGTGGGGGAACTTGAGCAACTCCTTGATATTGATAAATTGTGCATTGTCCTGGGTATTGCCAATACATAGGAGATATTCTTCATCTTCAGAGATGCAAGCTGAAGTATTGTGGGTATCATGCCCTGGTGTACGGTACTTTATCATACCTTCTCAATGGTTCTATTGGACATTTATTCACAATCAAATTTGGACGGGAGAAATAACCATTTGGTTGTTAGTGGAGCAGAGATGAGGCCTAGCCACATATTATTGAGCCATTGATTAAGAAGAGGAAGGAAAGAAGGCAAGACTGCAGTTGAGAGTGTGGTGGGGAGTGAGGAAGCCAGCTCTTCACTGTCCGTAGATCTTCTTTGGTAGAAACTTTACCACTTCTTGGCTGTGGGACACTATAGTAACTCTGCTATTGTCTGAAAGCTTCCTGGAATGCTTTACCTAAGCTATGAAGCATTCAGCCAAATGTTGCTTTTGATAAATGAATCAATTATAAGCATTTTTTGAAAGTATTGATGTAACCCATTTTTTTCTGCCTTTTATTTTAGATAAAAGAAGTAAAGCTTTGAAAGGTAAGGGTTTGCTTCTTAAAGTGGTTGGGAAATGAAAAACACCATTATGTGTTTGCAAGAGGTATTATATCATTGTTCTAAACTAAATTTGATACATGGTTCAGTTAAGTAAGATACAATGAAAATACTTCAGAACATGAAGTTTGCTATGCCTACTGAAAAGGAGAAATCTAAATTTCTACTTTTTATAATCTGAATGGTTAAAAAAAATATTCATTTTGTCAGTAAAACTTCCAGGAATAATAGAAAAAGAAGTAATCAGAGGTAGCTGATGCCACCAGCTGGGAAGCACAAGTTACTGTGTGAGCATGCTACCCTGTGAACGTCCTGATGGTGTGTTTTGAAAGAAAGCACCTAACAAATGTATGCCCTTGTATTAGATATTTGTTTCCGTAGTGGCCGTCAAACTGTAGTCATTTGAGTTACACAAACCCTGCACTGGTCCCATGAGCTTTGGGGATGAGGTATTTCTCTACCCCTCTCACCTTTGCCTGTGCAGGTAAGCTGCTACAACAGGCATCATTTACAGGAGCTTTTAAACCCATTGGGCATTCCATGTAGAAAGAATTCATAGAATTGAAAATTGTCATTTATATTTTCTGACTTGTTGATGCTTAATAAATGACATTCTGCTGCTGCTTTCCTTCCTAAATTGAATCTATATTATGCATCTCTTTCAAAAGGTTCAAGTCCTGCACCTGCTCATGGTCATCATTAGCCAGCTTGCTTGAATACAGAATCGTCAGCCTGTAAATCTAAGCAGGCTTTGTTAAATGGGAACACGGAATGTCGCCATACCCTTATATAAGTACCACGTTCTACGTGGCATGAATAAATGATCTGTGAGATGCACCACTACCATGCCAGTACTGCTTTGTGTGTTTCCCCCAAGTAGAGCCTTTGCAGTGCAGCAGGGGCCCTCACCCAGCCCGCCCTCCTGAGGAAACCTGAGAATGAGGAGTAAGTCTCCACTGCCACAGGGGTTGGTGATCAGAGTCTAGGCATTAATTTGAATTCTTATACTTAATAAATGTTTGTTAAACAAATCAGCCTCTGTTTTCACACTGGGGAGATGGAGATATTAATTATGTAAATTCCAATAGAATTATTATGAAGATCAATAAGGGAAAAGAACACATTACTTAAATTGTGAACTGCTTTAGAAAAAAAATAGCATTAGACCACATGGTAGGCAAAATTAGAAGCTCTAGGAGAAAATTTTATCAGAAATTAATGGAGGCAAAGTGAATAATATAAAACAATTGATGCTTCCTCTAGTTGGATTAGTATCAAATGAGTAGTGCATACTTATCTCCATCTAAATAAAGCAGTTGCCAAAGCCCCTAGAATCACATGCAGAAAAGATTGTAAAGCGGTAAGCCTGGGGGTGGGAGTAAGTCCAATTTGCGATCAGGTCTTTGCAAGTTAATACAAGTCCAGTGGTGAAATAGAAGTGATGACCCAGTGCTGGTCTCAGAAGCCTTCCTCTCTGATGCCAGAGACTTCCTATTTGTCATCTGTGTCTCCAGCAGTTGGCATGGGGCCTGGCCCATGGCAGGTCCCCCACAGATGACTGCCATTTACTGTGGGATCTGAGCCTCACTTTGTTCTTTTCTAAGATGGGCATAAACCTGCCTTGTGTTCCTCACTGCCCCTCAGGGATGCCTTCCTAAAAGCCTTAGCATCATATTCGGTGGCTCGGTTCTGATGCAGGAGTCTGATCTTCTGTTACTTCTTTTCTGTTCAGCCTTGACAATAACTTGGTACAGCACCTATCTGAGAAATGGCTAATTGGCACTAGCCCTTTTCAAGCTGGGATGTGCACTGGAATCCCCTGAAAGTCGGGCACAGAGTGGGGGACTCCACATTTTTTATCCCACTGGTCTGGAAAAGAGCCTGACAATTTTTATTTCTAACAAGTTCCAAGGACATGCTGGTGCCCACTACTAGGTTTTGGAGATTGCCCATAGGAAGAACAGACTTCCAGCCCTGCCTTGACACCTACTGGAGGCCTAAAGGCCACTATTGTTCACTGTGGGAACACCCCCCAACACCAGCCCTTCACCATGCAGCTTAGTGCATCTGGTCACTAGACCTTAATGAGGTTTAGAGCTCACAGAAGAGGAGACAGAGGCCAAGGAGGTAGTAATATGCCAAAGGTGTTGGAGAAGGTGAGGAATGGATAGATACAGAAGGAATGGTTACCCAAAGGGTGCTTCCCACAAGAGCTGAACTGTTGCTACCTAAGGGTTCTTCAGTCAAAATCACTTGTGGTGCAGGCCTACAATTCTAGCTACTCTGGATGCTGAGGCACAAGGATCACAAGTTCAAGCCATAACAGCAATTTATCAAGATCATCTCTATGAAAAAATAACAAGGACTAGGAGTGTAGCTAAGTAGTAGAGCAGTATGGGGTTTAATCCCCAGTACCAAAAAAATGAAAATCACAGGTCAGTCATTTCTTTTGTACAGAATGCCTATCATGGGCCATATCTTGTGCAATGGTGGATGAGAGACCAGTAGAATTGATTTGCTAGCCTGGAAACATAGGGAGAAGCATGTCATGTACTGAAGGTAGCCTGTAGATGGAGCCAGAGCATGCCACCAGGCAATGGTCACTATAATGGTCTCAAAGGAACTGCAGGCCCATTTAAAGGAATGTTTGGAGAGCTACAGGAGTACCCACAGTAGGGAACAGCCAACTTCAGGAAGGTGCGACAAGGATTCACACACCTGTTCTTAATGCAGTGCTACTACTTTGTAGCCCTAAAGGCAGAAGGGAACATGGATCCCAGGCTTCTGAAGATGGAATCTTAAACAGTATGTTTAACCTAGCCTCAAAGTGATCCTTTGGAGAAAGCACCCTGTTCCTGCTTGTCACTAAATATCCCAGTGGGATGTGCAGCTCCCTCAGCCCTCAATGGGGTTGCACCTCTAGAGCCAACAGATCCTGATGACCCAGTTGCAAACCCCGGTCTGGCTACTTTGCATTGAACTCATGAATCTGCTCTGTGCCCTTTGAGCTTGTAAAGTTGCCTAGTTTCACTGATGAAATGGAGGCCTAGACAAGATAGTAAGCTTGCATTAGAAGATATTTACCTGGTTGGTAAAGCAACTAGTTAACTAGTAGAACCAGGATTCAAAATCTGACCGTTTGACTTAGAATTAGGACTTGGAGTACAGTCTCACTTCCAGGTCTTTATCTGTACCAGCTCATGCATGACTGATGGGGTCATAGGGGCAATTCGGATACAGCCCCTTTGTTCCCAAAGTTTAGAGTCTAGAGAACAGATGTGTGAACAGGCACTGATGATGTGTGGCAATACTCACCGCAGTGGATGTTTGGTTTCAGTGGTCTTTCATGGTGGTGGGAGCATCAGGCCTGGCTGTGAGTCATATCAGGCTCAGAAGCCCAGCATCTGCCCAACAGCCAAGTCAGACATGGACCTGGTGTGGATCCCCATTCAGACACAGAAAAAGACATGTTGTGGCTCAGTGGTTTGCCTAGCACATGTGAGGCCCGAGGTTCAATCCTCAACACCACATAAAAATAAATAAATAAAATGAAGGTATTGTGTCCATCTACAACTAAAAAATATTTTTTTAAAAAACAGGTATTTCTGTTGTAATTAGTGAAATTTGTACATGGACTGAGAATTAAGGATACCAAAGAATTGCTTCTTAATTACCACAATAATGATATGGTAATTGAAGAAAATATCTTTGATATCAGCAATGCAGATGTAATTATGTAGGTGTGAGATGATATCTAGGAATTACTTTAAAATACATCAGGAAATATTAACCAATCAAAATAGATTGGGGAAGTAGCTTAATGGTAGAGCACTTGCCTAACACAGGCAAGATTTCCCAAGCACTGAGTGATGGAGGAAATGAAATTGGCTGTGATGTGTAGAAGTTGGGGGTCAGATGTATGGGGATGTACTACACTATCTCTGCCTTGACATATGGATATATGTTTAACTTCCCTCAAAAGTTTTTTTAAATGCTTAAGGAAAGGGCTGGGGTTATAGCTCAGTGGTGGAGCGCTTGCCTCCCACATGTGAGGCACTGAGTTCAATCCTCAGCACCACATAAAAATACATAAATAAAGATATTCTGTCCATCTACAAATTGTGTGTGTGTGTGTGCAGTCAAAACCTTTGTTGGTATTATAATACCTATTTGAGAAGCCAGCACTGCAACCCTGGGAATGCAAGGTAGCATCTCAGTGAACTTGCAGTCAGTTATTTTGAACTTATGTCAGACACCCAGGATCTATTATCAAAATGATGGAAGAGTCAGTTTATAGAATGTGTTTCCTTCTTTAATAGTGATCTAATACAGGCTTGAGCTAGTATAAATTCTTAAGCCTATGGGGAAGAAAATGTTGAAAACTCTATATTGGGGGATAGGCGGGTACCTGGGATTAAACTCAGGGGCACTCGACCACTGAGCCACATTCCTAGCCCTATTTTATATTTTATTAGAGACAGGGTCTCACTGAGTTGCTTAGTGCAACTAAATTGCTGGGGTTGGCTTTGAACTCACAATCCTCCTATCTCAGCCTCCTGAGCCACTGGGATTAAAGGCGTGCGCCACCATACCCAGCTTCTAGTCTATCTTTTAAATTAAATTTACAACTCAAAACTGAAATGGTTGTGACAGTGATTGTTTCTATCAGTATAGAAACAATCTATATTGCCTTATTCTTTCTTCCCTTAGAATATAATAACACTTTGGGGCTTTTCATTTGAAAATATATTCTACTCAATAATAAAAAAGTCAAGTATTACAGCTTTGAGAACTTCCCATATAACTTGTCAGATGAGTACCGTTGGAGAAAAAAATCAAATTTATGTGTTATTTTAAAGGAAAATGAATCCAAATAATTAAAAATTTTGAGCAGGGGCTAAAGTTGTGGCTCAGTGGTAGAGCACTCATCTAGCATGTGTGAGGCACTGGGTTTGATCCCCAGCATTGCTCAAAAATAAATAATAAAATAGAAGTATTATGTCCATCTACAACTAAAAAATATTTTTTGAATTTTTTTTTKATAGGTGGGTATATTAGAACCCATTAAAGTGGAGGCAAAGGTCGGTCATGGTGGCACACATCTGTAATCCCAGCAGCTTGGGAGGCTGAGGCAGGAGGATTGCAAGTTCAAAGCCAGCCTCAGCAATGGCAAGGCACTTAGCAACTCAGTGAGACCCTGTCTCTAAATAAAATACAAAATAAGGCTGGGSGTGTAGCTCAGAGGTTGAGCTCAATCCCTAGTACCAAAAAAAAAAAAGATTGCACATCCAATAAATGACATTCATTTCTTTAAAAAAAAAAAAGGCTGCCAGAGCTCCCAGCAGCTGGGAGCAAGCATCGAGCCATCTCCTCAGCCACACAGGCTGCATTGGTAGATCCCCGGATTCCAGGGCAGGTCAGGAGGTGGGTGGCAGGCAGACATGGCTGGGGCATCCTATGAGAACCACCTCCTCACTCCAGCATCCAAAGGAAGCAGGTTTCACCCAGTGGAAAAAGTGTATCATGTGGAGGTGGCAGTCAGCTGTTCATTTCCATAACCCCAGCAGCTCAGGCACCCGAGACAGTTAACCAGGCCCCACCAGCAGCAGACTGGCAATGGTTCTCACCCTCCCTCCCCAGAAGAAAGCAGGAGGCAGGCGCTGGCCTCTAGCACTGCATCTGCCACTGCTGCAGCACCACAGACATGGTGTGGCCCAAAGAATCTGTGCTCTTTGTCCTTAGCCATGCTTCCTGAACCCCCAGCAGGGTGCACACTCTGGCAGAGACAATGGCCCTGAGAGGAAGTAGAAGATGCTATCTCTACCTCAGCCAAAACTGCAAATTAGGTCAC